ACAATTAAGAAAATCATAATGTTAGAATTTAGTTTTAACTTTTTATAGAATCACTTTGGTCAATCACGAAATAAATAACCGAATAGAAAAATTCAGTTTCGTTTTTAAACTTTTTTATAGGTACAAAGCTTATAATATTCAATTTGAATCCAGTTTTTCTCGATTTACGGGCATAAAATCATGTAAAAACGTTCATTAGTATTTTGATGTAAACTAAATCTTACACAGAATTTTTGACACCAAATAACCATAATTATTTGAATTTCATACATATGTATGTACATGTAAATTAGTCCCCAGTAAACACAGGACGTCAAGAAGACGTCGGATTTTGGTCGATATTTTGTCGCGACGTCATATGACTACATTTCAACGTCAATCAGACGTCAAAATAAGACGTCTAATCAACGTCGAATATTTACGTCGGTAAGACGTTGTTACTTGGTCATTGTCGTTTTTACATCGAAAAACGACGATTTTTCGACGTCCGTTAATCGACGAAGTGAAAATCCGTAGATGTATATATTTTTTAACTTTATTTTAATATGAATAAATTGTGAATGTAAAATGTAGCTCTTTACTAATCAATGCGCATTTACAAAATCCTTTTATCATCGTTTTCGTTGTAAGTATGAGATATGTGGGCATGCGCACGAGTTGATTACTCAGTTACTTCGTCACTTACCCGATAGGTGGCGTGATAAATTAAATATTTTATTTGAAAATAGGCTATTTTCGTGAATGGATCTTAAAACTCCTTAATTATTGTATTATAACATAAAATATGATATTGAAACGTGTTTTTATTTTTTTTTTAACAAAACTAATTTAAAGCGCGCACTTGCCACTTCCGCCACTTCCGATTGAGAAATTTGAAACTTCGTTGTTTGCATTGTGTTACTGTGTACAAGTTTATCGTGTGTATGAGTGAAATCAAGAGTTTGCATCACCAGAAAGGTACGTACATTTCATTATTATAGCAGAGATAATACGCAGTGTGTATACAAAGTATAATTTACAACGAATCAAAACAATGAAATGGAAAATATTGTAAGCTATGTAGTCAGCATGTGTCCTAATTAATATTTACGCGCCAGTTCAGAGGTGTTGATTAATGTGTGGTATAGGAGGATATGTAGTGAAGAAATCTTATGTTATAAAGATACTTAAGATAGGTTAAAGTTTGACATAGAAATTGGCCAAAGTTCAATTAATAAGTGGACGTTGATGACTTGGTAAGTATTCAGTTTTACTAAAAACAGATCCTGGGTATATAATGGTTGTGTTGACTTAATTAAATATCTCTACCATCAAATAATAATGGTAAATTTTGCTCTAAACTATTTCAGCACTAAGCAGCACTTTGTTTATTTGTGTTATAGGGCAATTAATGTGTTATAAAATGTGTTTTTCACTCCTTATCATGCTCATGGACAGTCATGGTCCTTGATTTAATTAACAAATATTGTAAAATAATTTTTTAGGATGGAAGTTGATTAAGCTTGCGACCATTAAAAAACAAACACTTTTTAGAATAATAATTGTATTTATGTTGAATGCCATAACTTAGTTGGAGATTTCTGGTAGGATTAATTTTGGTAAATAATGAAAATTCTTAAATCCACGCCTTGGTTGATGGTGTGCATGTAATAGAAGGTGTAAGGTCACATGGTCAGCTCAGCGAGTCATTCAGTTGTATTGTGATAACCCACATGCTGACCAGGCTAAAATAAGGCACATCTATTTTGAAGATTTGTCACAACGTCTGCGATTGTTCAACTTAGCTGAACGCTGAATATGTTGTAAAGTGCTGTTTACAAGTGTGTGGATTTTTGGGTTTATTGTTTACTAATGCAATGGTACATGTGTGTGGGTTATCAAATATATATTCTGATTAATGGCTACAATGGTGTTCGGTCAATTCATACAAAAATGAAACTAATCTTTCGATATTCTGTACAAAACATATAACAGAATTTTAAATGTTATTTTAATAGAGTGGTTGTAATTCTTTACTAAGGATTCTGAAAATATTTCTAATCTAGAATAGTTTCATCAATAGAAACAAGAGATTCAAATAATAAACATCATACAATTCTAACTGTGTAAGTATAGACTAAGGGGAAAACAATTTCATACGTAAACATAGATTGTTTAGATCAAATTCCCTAAAGGTTTACAAATTGAGTAAATATTTACACAAAGGCCATTAATGTCCATGAAAAGTACAGTGCAAAGCAGACAAGTTTATTTCATATTTACCAAAGAAACTGTTTATACAAATATTGTGATTTTTTTGTTTTAGTTGATACCCGAAACATAATTATTATGATTATATAATATTTATATAAACAAAAGTACAAAACTATCGAAGATTGATATGGTCGAACATACCATAAACCAACTTTTATTCACGACGACTTTTTTTTGTATTTACCAGAGATAAACTTGTTCATGAGGATTAATTTTTGCGATCAAGCCTTTCTGTATCTGTTGTTAATAGACATATACACTCGATGGACTGGTTTGCGGTGAGAAATATCTGCTATGACGGGCGCTCTCATGAACTTCGTGAAAGTTTCGTGCAAGCCAATTGAATAAAAGTTGGTTTACAGTATTTAATTCTGATGTCTTTCCAAGTAGCAAATATGATGTAGTATAGTTTTTGGAGTGGACACTTGGATTCTCCAGAATTAGAAGAGACTTTAAAATAAAAAAACAAAGTAATAAGCAAACAATAAACAAGAATTGAATTTAGTATAACATACAGTATGCTATGCATGTATTGAAGCATATTGGATATTTTTAGTTACATCACTTCTTGCATGATATTGTGAACCATAAGTAGATAGTTCTAGTAGACTACAGACCCAATTTAATTCATTTATATTGATAATACCCTATTAAAATAAACAAGGAGCATGGTGTGCTATAGAATAGATTCTATGAGGATGTTTTTTTTTTTAAAAATCTCTTTAGCTTAAAATAACCTTGATAGTTTATTTTGATTATTTCAAAATTAACACATTTTTTTCAGGAGCATGTCTTATCTCAAACGTTGGAGACACAATAGGGCCCAAGTTAATTCGCTAGCATTGCTTACTAGTAGCAGTGATGATGACGATACGGCACAGTATCAACCTCATGATTCTGCTTCAGCAAGTGAACCTAGAGTGGAAGAAGATGAAGATTCAAGCAATTCTCTCAGCACTGATTCAGATGATACCGATTATGAATATTTGGATAGAGTTCTGTCTGAATTAGAAACTGACACCGACCACTCTGAAGTCGACACGTCATCATCGGAGGAAGATGAAGGTCAATCCTTTCCTGCTGAACTGGCCACCTGGGCAACTGACAGTCAGTGCACTCGGACAAATTTGAATAAGCGTCTCTGTCTGCTAAGAAAACAAGGCTTACCTCTGCCTAAGGATGCTCGTACACTACTGCAAACACCAAGAACTATACAGGCTCTTGACAAATGTGGTGGTCAGTATAGATATTATGGTGTTGAAACTGGAATTCTCAAAATTCTTGCCCATAATCCAAAATTAAGACAAAACTGTGATGAAATCCAACTTACTGTAAATATAGATGGTGTCCCACTCTTTAAATCTTCTGGGACTCAATTCTGGCCAATTCTGTGCTCGTTTAGCAAGTTTGACCCATTTCTTGTGGCACTTTTTTACGGGAAAAGTAAACCAACGTGTGTAGCTACTTTTTTAAGTGACTTTTTAGAGGAAATTGATTCCTTGAAAGAAAATGGAATTGCATTTGACGATAAAACAATTGTCTGTGTCATTGCTCAATTTTGTTTGTGACGCACCTGCAAGATCATTTATAAAGTGCATTAAAGGTCACACAGGATACAACTCCTGTGAACGTTGCACAATTCCAGGAGTCTATAAGCAAAATCGAGTAAATTTTTACTCAACAACCAGTTTTCCTTTGCGCAGTAATGAAGATTTCTCGAACATGTTGTATAATGATGATCACCAAAGGGGTCGTACACCTTTGATAGATCACAACTTTTGTTGTGTTTCTGGCTTTTGTCTAGACTACATGCATCTTGTTTGCTTGGGTGTTGTTAAACGCATAATTTTTTTATTTGAAACAAGGACCAAGAGACTGTAGACTTTCATCAAGACAACTGCTGGAAATATCTGACAACTTGATGGCACTAAGTGGGAAAATGCCTTCAGAATTCGCAAGACAGCCAAGATCTCTAGAAGAAATAGAACGCTGGAAAGCAACTGAGTTCAGGCAATTCTTGCTTTATACAGGACCTGTTGTTTTGCGAAAAACTGTGTCCAAAGCATTGTATGAACATTTCTTAACTTTAACGGTGGGAATTTCAATTTTGTTGGATTCCAATGATCATAAAAGAAACGTTTACCATGAATATGCAAGTGAGCTTCTTGCATATTTTATTGAAAACAGTAAAAACATTTACGGTGAAATTTTTGTGTCGCATAATGTTCACAATTTGATTCATATCACTGATGATGTTAAGAAGTATAATTGCTCCTTGAATAGAATTTCGGCCTTTCCTTTTGAAAACCATTTGCAATCCATCAAACGTTTAGTAAGAAATGCAAAAAATCCTATTGCTCAAGTTACAAAGAGAATGGCAGAAATGGACACTTTTGGAATTGGAAAAACTAATAACCTCTCAGGTTTACGATTTGGCAATATTTCCTGCAAGAAAAAGGACAGCTGTTTTCTGTTATTCAATGAGAACTTTGCCTTTGTAAGAGAAAAGAGAGATGATGGCAAGCTGGTGTGTGATATTGTAAAGCAGAGGGATGCTGAAAATTTCTTCACAAGACCTTGTGAGTCTAAATTGATAAATATTGCATTTATCAAGAATCGACACAGATCCTCAAGAAAACTATTGGAGAAAAAAGATCTCTGTCGAAAAGTGGCTTGTCTACCCTATTCAGGAGGTTATGTCTTGCTACCACTTTTGCATGGTGTTGAGAGACGCAGTCATTAATTCCATATTTAATAAGGTATAATAAGATTTATACATGTATATATTTAAATGTTGCACTTTTTTACCTGTTGGCCTACAAAAAAAACACTAAAGATTGTGTCTTAACAGTTAATAGCATGAAAGCATTGCCTTGATAAGCTTGCTAAAAGGCAACTATAATAAATATCTAACATGTTTAAAGTATATTGATTATTCTTTATTGAAGCTATAAAGACTGTACACTCAAGAATGTCTAGAAATAGTGTATGATTTCCTTCGTTGATGATAGATTATCTTATTTACTAGTATATACATGTAGCAGGCTTAAATTACATGTCTAGGTTTTTTCCTGTTAATTAAAATGAAGACATGTTAATTATTCAGAATGTCATGGATAAGAGCTGCGTGGATGGAGGGGGGAAATGAGGAAGAGGGGACAGTGCCGGACACCTGGATACTAAATGATTTTGTTCTATGGCCACTAGTTGTCAACAGTTTAAGATTCATCAAAGAGAGAAAGAAGCCGACAGAAAAATGGAAAAGATTTCCTTTGGTGAAGATAAAGAAGAAGTCTGGTAAGAATAAAAGAATTTTGTAGTTTTGGTAGGTATGACTGACATTGTGAAATATTAAACTTAAACATTATCAAAATTATAGATTGAAAATTTGTTCCAAATAATAAATCTATTTTTTATTGCAAATTTTGTAAAACCTTACTTGACGGAATATTTTAAATCATGAAGCAGAAAATGTATAGATATGTTTTTTGTACATTCAAGAAAAGTGTATTTTTATGACAGATAGTTACACTGAATGTGAATTATTTGATGAAACGACAACAGCAGAAATTAGTGAGGATGAAGACCGTGGCAAGAGACCACTGAAAAAGAAATCATTTGGTGCAGATTTTATTTCAGGTAAGCAGTTGCTTTCCTTATACATCATTCAAGAATTCTTTTGTTATTTTTTTTATTTTTTTTTTTTTTGTTTTTTGTTTTTTGGTAAATTTTAAGAATTTGTCATTTGAATGGTAATTTGTATATTCATCAGAAATTCTTACTTCTGTTTCTTCAAATTGCTATTTGTTTAATTTGTATGTGGAAATTCTTATTCAGATATAGCTGATGCTGCTTCAAATCATGAAGAAGACCCTAAAGGGAAAGCCAAAAAAACTTCAGAAAAGGATCCACGTATGTACTTTTAAATAACTAAGTCCTGACTTTGTCTCTTGTTCTTTTGTGAAAAATTGAATGCATGATAATATTTAAATTAATTTATTTGTAATTGAAGAGATGTCCTGTTGTTTCAAAATGTCAGGGAGGGGAAAAAGTAAGTGTGAAAGATATACAATTGTATAAGTCATTTTAATTCTGTTTTTCAGCCACTGATACTCGGAAACTTCCTGCACAGCCAAAGAAAATCTGTCCCAAATTTTTAAACCCAACAGGTGGCTCTAAGTCCAGATCAAGATCCTCTTCAAGAAGCTCAAAGTCAAGAAGTTCAAAATCCAGATCAAGATCATCATCAATGGATAGTCAACAGTATAAACAATCACAGTCAAGTTCAGATTTATCAAGGAAGGCTAGGTCAGAAACACAAAAAAGAAAGCACCCAAGGTCTAGATCTGTGTCAAAATCACTGAGGGGTAACTTAGAGAAACAGAGAAGGTCAAGGTCAACATCAGATGAAATAAGGTCGCACAAATCTCTTTCAAGGTCCAGATCAAGGTCATTGATAGGTAGGTTAGAGAGAAGTAGGAAAGATTCAAGGTCAAGAAACAGATCACGATCAAGGTCCAGATCAAGGTCATTAATAGGAAGGTTAGAGAGAAGTAGGAAAGATTCAAGGTCAAGAAACAGATCACGATCAAGGTCCAGATCAAGGTCATTGATAGGAAGGTTAGAGAGAAGTAGGAAAGATTCAAGGTCAAGAAACAGATCACGATCAAGGTCCAGATCAAGGTCATTAATAGGAAGGTTAGAGAGAAGTAGGAAAGATTCAAGGTCAAGAAACAGATCACGATCAAGGTCCAGATCAAGGTCATTGATAGGAAGGTTAGAGAGAAGTAGGAAAGATTCAAGGTCAAGAAACAGATCACGATCAAGGTCCAGATCAAGGTCATTGATAGGAAGGTTAGAGAGAAGTAGGAAAGATTCAAGGTCAAGAAACAGATCACAATCAAGGTCCAGATCAAGGTCATTGATAGGAAGGTTAGAGAAAAGTAGGAAAGATTCAAGGTCAAGAAACAGATCACGATCAAGGTCCAGATCAAGGTCATTGATAGGTAGGTTAGAGAGAAGTAGGAAAGATTCAAGGTCAAGAGACAGATCACGATCAAGGTCCAGATCAAGGTCATTGATAGGAAGGTTAGAGAAAAGTAGGAAAGATTCAAGGTCAAGAAACAGATCAAGATCAAGGTCCAGCTCATGGTCATTATCAGTGAGAGGTAGTTCAAAGAAAAGCAGGGAAAAATCTAGTTCAAGGTTGTCATCAGTACAAGCAAGGTCAAGACCATCCATATTGAAAAGGACTTCAGAAAATTCAAAACATAGTAAAAAATCTTATTCAAGATCAAGGTCATTGTCTGATGAAGTTTCATCAGATGAGGAAAGAAGCCTATCATGTTCAAGGCCATCATCATTTCTGCATGATTCATCGAGAAAACGTCAGGACTCGAAAGGCAAGAGTAAGCATAAATCTTCGTCAAAAGAGACAAGAAGGTCACCTGCAAGGTCAAGGTCATTAGAATTGCCTACTCTGAAAAGAAACCCAAAGAAATCATCGCCCAAAACTGGCAAAAATACAAAGAAAATTACCAATGAAATGAGAAGAAATGAGAAGGACAAGTTTCCAATGACAGAAGCTAGTAAGTGACTGAAAAGAAAACAAATTATATATAGTTTCACCCCAAATTCATGTTGTTACTGTTGTATTTAATGTAGTAGTAATTACAAATTCCTGCAAAGCAAAAAATAATTTCGACTAAGATTTTGTATTACAACATCAATAAATCTCTCAGTATAGAAATGAACATGTTTGATACACATTGAAAATTAAGGTTTTTAATGTTAGATCATTTTTTTTTTCATTTTCAGAATTTCAGAAACGTGTGCTGTATTTATTGAGTGATTTGAGGCAAGAAATAGCAGATTTAAAGAAAGACAGAAGAATAGAAAACTAGTGCTAATTGTAACGGGGACCGTTACAGATGTTCCCCAAACGCTCCCCAACTCCCTTTTGGTGCCATATTCTCTGTAAGCTTCATTAAATAAGACAAACTCCATGCATCTGAGATTTAAACAACATTTACAAAGAAGTGTACAAAAATCATTTAAACTTTAGCTTTGCACGCGTGCACATGTGAATGCATTTGCGTCATGACCATATCATCTTGTCTACACAATCTATATTTTTAATACACTGAATATTAAAGTATTTAAACCAAAATTATTTTAAAAATACGCTCATTCAAGTGTATTTTTGATTTTCACGTGCACGCACGTGCATACATGAGCATGGTGACCATACCTTCTTGTTGAAGTCCATTACATCTATCTATGTTCTAAAATCCACCACGTTTGGGTGAAAACTAAGGGAGTTATAGCTGTTTAAAGTTTCAGCCAATCAGATTGCAGCACATGTACACGCACGTGTATGCATGTGCATGGTGACCATACCTACTTGTAGAAGTCCATTATATCTATCTATATTCCAAATCCCATCCTGTTTGGTTGAAAACCAAGGGAGTTATAGCTGTTTAAAGTTTCAGCCAATCAGATTGCAGCGAACGTGCATGCACGTGTTTTCATGATAATTGCTTTATTTCATGTTGTAGGATATCCTAATGCATGGCTATGTTCAAAATTTCAAAGGATTTCGTCAAAGAACAAGAAAGATATTGAGACTTTAGTTGCAGCCAATCAGAGCGAAGTGCACGTGCATGCGCGTGAGATCTTGCTATTTTCACCATGTCGTCATGTCTATACTACTTATATATCCTCACATTATGAGTTTCAAAGCATTTCATCTAAAAAAAAGAAAAGTTGTGGCTATATATATATTATTGGTCATTTCACGTGTTGCACGTGCACGCTCTTGCAAGCACGTGCGCGCAAAATGACCTTGATTCCGCAAATCTACATAACATGTCTACTTACCCTAAAAAGGTTTTACCTACATCGGACGAACAGTTTACAAGATCATTCCCGGACAAAAAAGTTCCAGGAAGAAGAAGAAGAAGAAAAATAATAATAACTAGAGCCGAGCTCGTTGCAAAGCAACGAGTAGGTCTTCCGTCCTGTTTGACCGGAAGTAGTTTTCATTTTTAACAAAAATGAGAAATAACGCCTAAAAATGGTTTGAATCCTTAAAAACTATGTTAATTAATGCATAATTATGGAAATTTTGCTACTTCCGGTTAAACCGGAAGTGATGACGACGGACGGAAAATTAATTTTTATGCTCCCAGAGACATATGTTACCCAAAAACTTGACAAGCACGGCAAAAAGTACGCATTTTTTACTACTTCCGGTTTGACCGGAAGTGACGACGTCGGACGTATTTTGACGACACGAATAGATTAAGCTTGACATTTTGAACAACTTTGCTTCTTTGACGTATTACAAATTCTCAATGCTTTTTGAGATATCAATTAAAAACTTTTGGCCCCTCTAGATCCTTTATTTTAGGGGTCAGCCCTTTTTTCGAGATTTCAATTGAAAGATCTCAGAATTCTTCACAACTTTTGTTCTATTTGATTTAACAAAATATTTACAAGTAAAATGATATATTAGAAAAAGTGTTAGAAATTTTGAAACGCTCAATATGACTTTTTTCAGTCCATACCGAGCGTTAACGTGCAGCACTTCCGGTGAAAGTTAACAACACAATGCAAATCTACATGTGTTGCTCTATCTTCCTGAAAAGGTTTCATCTTGCTGTGATGAGCGGTTTTTAAGAAGAGCGACGGACAAACTGACCCTTAAAAATCACAAAACTGCGAAAATCTCCAAACCGGAAGTGACGTCATCAAAATAAAAAAAAGGGTATCGAGATTTTTTGATGTTCTATCAGACCTGAAAGTTTCATAAAATTCTAACGAGCCGTTCTTGAGAAATCGCGTGCACAAAATCGGTAAGAAAAAAAATAATAAGAAAAACAGTGGAAAAGAAACAAACGAATAACAAGAAGGTCTTCCGCTGAAGACGGAAGACCTTAATAAGAAACAGAGTAAAAACAATATGTTCCCCAACTTCGTTTGGGGAACATAATACTAGCACCAGTGCATTTGAAATTACACAGGCAACGACTTTAGACGAGTTTGTCGAGTTAGACAGCAAGCTAAAAGAACCCGCAAAAAGACAACAAATGGTACAAATTTACATATTTATGTACGCTAAAATACACTGATGCAATTTTCAAAACTGTTGACAAGTATTGCTTTTGAATTTTTTTTTAAAAGATTCTTTCTGTACCTTTACCCTGCCTTAACATTTTTAGTAATATGAAACAAGAGAGAAAAGAATTTTTAAAAGAATAGTTTAAATGTAATGTCATTTTCTTTCCCGCTTTACGATGTACAGCATATCTAGAAACTTTGCAAAATTATTTATAAAAATTGTTGTAATGTATTTGAATTTAATGTATACACAGCTTGCTAATATCTTGCTGTCAAATTAAGCTGTATATTGAACAAATGCAATATGTGTATAAAAGTTTTTGAATTGAGTCATATTTGGGATAATCTCTCACATGCCAGTGTATTAAATACTGAATAATTTAACAGATTTGTTTATAAACATTAAACAAGATGCTTAAACTTCAAATTTAATATCCGGGTTAATGATTTTTTAACCATTTTTACATGTAGGTCCAGAGGCTTTCCTCAATAGGCGGTTTGAACCTAAGAGATGGAGTCAAAATGATTTTACAAAGGTACTCTTCACATTTCAAATTTTACAAAATCAATTTTTAATTCCAAAATTGTTCTATCCAATATCTTGAAGGAAATTCTTTCTTTGTATTGTCATTTATAAACTTCTTTTATTTTTTTGAATATTCAGCTTTCAAAAATCAAATAGTGACCTAATAACTTCAAATGTACATTTTTGCAGGATTATGACAAATGATGTGATGTCTCTCATGAATGTTAAAGGCAACAGGGGAAAAATGGCCTTTGGAACAACATATGTGTTCCAGGCAGTGATTGGTATGTTAATAATTTAATCTTTGTGTTATGACAAGTTAAAGGGAGTTTGAGCATAAAAATTTCACTTTTTTTTGTTGCAGCAAGTGCGGTGCAGCAGTTTACATGTACTGAGCGAGAGGCCACCGAGGCAGTAGCCCGTTGCCTAAAGTATGCACCGGACAGGAGAGGAGGGGGTGGCAGAAAGAAAGACACACAAGAATGAACTGTTAATTAAAAAACAACATATCTTTATTAGACTTTAATATTCAAGCCCTATAAAAAGGGATATTTTTTTTAAATGGAGTGAATTAAAATAAAGAAAACAACTTAAAATTATTTATCTTGTCGTTTATGCATCCACACTGATTTCATTACATGTGTTAACATTTTGACGTCAGGTAGACGTCGAAAATAATGACGTGTATGTGACGTTGAAATTTGACGTTGTATAGACGTCAGAAAAAGACGTCTAAAAAACTTTCATTTTCAACTAAAATCCAACGTAAATTCAACGTCAGAAACTGACGTCCATGCAACGTCAATCCAACTAGTTTTGCCTGCTGGGTCAGTTCAGGATTAGTGTAATTTATGTTACAGATTTTATTAATGTGGGCTTTGACAATTTTTCAAACATTGAAAAAATAAATCAATCCTATTAAACGGAGTATTTTTTACATTCGACTGGCCTTCGATGTGATTTTATTTATTGCATAATACACCCACCCATGCATATGGGCCAAGCAATATTGTATACAACATATGTACAAGGACAAATGTACCCCCTCCCCTATTATATACCGGGGTATATGGTAGAGGCACTGTAAGTTCCCAAGCACCTATCTGCCTTGATAAGCCAAGGGGAATAACTCGTATTAGAATCAATCAAGAATTTTGTCGTCACGGTTCACCTGTTTATAATCAAACAAACAAAAAAAATTAAATAACTATTAGAAATCCTCTTCATGTATAGAAATATGAATATTTATTATGAATTATTCTGGTTCATTATTTTTTGGTTATCTGTGGGTAGATAATGTCAGGTGACGCAATATGTGACGTAATCAATCAAACCGAAACAAGGAAATGGGGGTAGGATGGTGGTGTTCTTGACTTTTTTCGTATGGACAACACATTGTATGACAAAGTAAGTTTTTTAACCAGTTATGTACCTGTAATTCCGTTCATAGTGCCTTCGACCTTCTTGTTCTGTGGCCGATAATAGGATCAAGAAGCTCTACAATTTGTTTAATTGAGTCTTTTCCAAAGCGATATCGCCTACGGATGTCCTCGTCAGTCATGTTTTCTACAGAGAAACGTTCTCTAAACACTCTGTCAGCCCTCATTCTTCCCAATTGGCCAAACATTACGTTGGCCGCCATAGTTAATGAACGTTTAAAGAAGCCCTCTTGGGTTCATTAAAATTAGATAAGTTAATGAGGCTTTAATGCACCGATTCGTTCATTAAAACTTTGATACAACGGAATTTAATGACACATTAAAAATGATCAGTTTAATGAAGCTTTAATCATTCATTAAATATTAATACAACCGGATCCTGGGAATTTATTTAAAATATTGAAATCAGTCGGATTTTTTATATTGCTGCGTAGCAGATATTCAAAATTTATTCCATAAGATTTTAAAGCGTTATCTAGGAAAATTCTAAGTGAGGAATTTTTATTAGATATTCTTTTGATCCATCCCGCTTTTACGCTTTTAAGTTTGCATTCTATATCAATTAGACCAAGACCGCCTTCATTTACTGGTCTTATGAGTGAATTCCGCTTAATTCGCTCTCTCTTATTAGGTCACCTGAGTAACTCAGGTGACCTATTGCTATCCGTTTTCGTCCGTCGTCGTCCGTCGTGCATCGTGTGTCGTGTGTTAACATTTGAACATTTTCAGCTTCTTTTCTGAAACCACTGAACCAATTTCAACCAAATTTGGTTTACAGCATCTATGGGTGAAGGGGAACAAAAATTGTGAATTTCAT